AATCACTTCCGGGAAACACAGAAAAAAGACGGAGATTGGTTGTTGACTACAGACAAGTAAATAAAAAATTAGCAGCAGATAAATTTCCCCTTCCAAGAATTGATGACATTCTAGATCAACTTGGAAGAGCAAAATATTTTTCATGCCTAGACCTTATGTCAGGTTTTCATCAAATAGAATTACACCCAGACTCTAGGGACATTACTTCATTCACTGCTGAAAATGGCACATATAGATTCAAAAGATTACCATATGGATTGAAAGTAGCCCCAAATTCATTCCAACGAATGATGACATTAGCATTCGCTGGCCTTAAACCATCCCAAGCATTTCTCTACATGGATGATTTAGTTGTATTAGGTTGTTCAGAAAACCACATGCTAAAAAATTTAAGAGACGTGTTCTCTACTTGCAGAAAATACAACTTAAAATTACATCCAGATAAATGTTTATTTTTCAGCCAAGAGGTAACATATTTAGGACATAAATGCACAAACAAGGGAATATTACCCGACCCAAGCAAATTTGAAACAGTTCAAAATTACCCAACACCAAAAACAGCTGACGAAGTTAAAAGATTTGTAGCCTTCTGTAATTATTACAGAAGATTTGTACCAAATTTTGCAGAACATTCAAGAAAGTTAACTAGGCTTTGCAGAAAGAATGTTACTTTTGAATGGACAGAAGAATGCCAAAAAGCCTTTGTCTATTTCAAAGAAGCATTAATTAGTCCAACACTTTTGCAATACCCAGACTTCGGTAAAAAATTTTGCATAACGACAGATGCTAGTGGGTATGCTTGTGGAGCAGTCCTTAGCCAAGAACATGATGGCAAACAGTTACCAATTGCCTACGCATCCAGGTCATTCACAAAAGGTGAAATAAATAAAGCTACAATAGAAAAAGAATTGGCAGCAATCCATTGGGCCATAACCTTCTTCAGACCATACGTCTATGGTAGAAAATTCTTAGTAAAAACCGACCATCGCCCATTAACATACCTATTTTCAATGAAAAGTCCTTCATCTAAGCTGACACGAGTAAGATTGGATTTAGAAGAGTACGATTTTGAGGTGGAGTATATAGCTGGTAAAGAAAATAATATCGCAGATGCATTATCCCGCATAACCATTACAAATTTAAAAGATATGTCAGTGGAAGCAAACAAAATATTTAAAATAACAACAAGATCAGCAGCTAAAAAGACCAATAATAAAACTGAAGTCAAAGAAAGTCACAAAGAGAACCCCAAAATTTACGAAGCGCTAAATAAATTTGAAGTAAAAAGACATGTCGAGCTCGTTTTCAATCCTCCGAAATTATATTTCAAAAAAGGAAAGAAAATTTGTAGCAATTTTGATACAAGCAACCTAATTGTTGAGGATAAGATTGACTTAGGACAATTCTTTACCAGGCTCGAAAGAGAAGCCGGCAATTTAGGACTTGTACAAGTACAGTTGTCCTTAGGGGACAAATTGTTTAAAAAAGAATTATACTGCAGTAGGCAAATTTATGGAAATGGGAAATAAAGTTCTCAAAAAGTTAACAATCGCTCTAACCCCAGAGGTTATATGTGTGACAAATCCCGGGAAAATTAAAGAAATTCTGCACAAATATCATGACGATCCTATTAGTGGTGGCCACCCAGGAATAAATCGCATGACAGATAAAATCAAGCAGAAATATAGCTGGCTGAATATGAAAAATGACATACGAAAATATGTAAAGAACTGCATCCACTGCAAGAAAAATAAAATTAATAAACATATCAAAGAACCAATGACAATAACAGAAACACCTCCGAAGGCTTTTGATATTGTACAAATCGACACAGTCGGCCCATTGCCAAAGTCGATAAATGGAAACGAATATGCAGTTACCATTATATGCGATCTAACCAAATATTTGGTAGCGATTCCAGTTCCAAGCAAACATGCAACAACTGTCGCTAAAGCCATATTCGAGCATTTCATCCTGATTTATGGCCAAATGAAAACAATTTTAACAGACATGGGCACAGAATACAAAAATAGCCTGTTCAAAGAACTGTGTAAATTGTTAAAAATTTAGCATAAAACTTCTACACCGTACCATCACCAGACTTTGGGTACTGTAGAACGCAGTCACCGGACATTCAACGAATATATGCGTGCATACATATCCAGTGACAAAGACGATTGGGATGAATACCTCAGGTATTTCGCTTATTGTTACAATACAACGCCATCAACAACACATAATTATTGTCCTTTCGAACTAATATTCGCAAAACAACCACCAAATTATGAATTTTTGGAAGAAAATGAAATTAGCCCGGTATACAACCATGAGGCGTATGACAAAGAAGTAAAATACAAACTTCAAATAGCACAGCAAAGAGCAAGCAAATTAATTCAAGAAGCTAAAGAAAAGCAAAAATCCAATTATGACAAAAATAGCTATAGTAAGGAAATTAAAATAGGAGATTTAGTATTAGTTAAAGAAGAGGCCTCCCATAAGTTAGAGACTAGATATACAGGACACTATAAAGTTAAAACCATTGATAAAAATAACAACTATACTTTAATTCCACATAGCATAGGAGATAGCAATAAAAACAAAAAGGAAATCGTAATTCATAAAAATAGGCTTAAACCAATTTAAAACCTTTAAAAATAAGCATGCCACTTTATCCATAATAATAATTTAGAAAAAAAAAATAATAATACACATAAGCATTCCAATTTACTCAACCTTATATACGGCACAAGCCAAAAGAAAACAAAATCAAATATCACATAAAATATACAAACAAACAAAAAAAAACAAAAGGAAAACACGGAACAAAACAATGGTAACAAGATCCTAAAACGATTAAAATTTTGTCAACCCAAACAAACATCAAGCGGTTCACTGAATCAGTAAAACAGATATATATAGTTGACTACAAATATATATATATATCTATTTTTTTTTAAGAGGGAAGGTGTAGCATAAGCACATCGCCCTTTTTACTTTAATTGTCATGTGCACATAAGTAATGTATAAACAAATAGGAATGTACACAAACAACAGTTTACCCAAATCAGTTACATTGAACTCAGCGGGAGTTTATGCAAAGACTGCATTCATCGCACATAGCGAGGATCTTGTTACACTTGTGCGGACGGTCAAAGACACCACCAAAGACAGTCGCAGTGACTAACTGATCCACAACGTCAGTTTGTCAATGCGACTGACATATTTATATATTTATTGCAACCATATGTTGACTTAGCATATTTTAGAGTTATGTAGTTAGTTTGTAGGTATTAGTAGTATATTTGTATACATTCTAGTTCGTAAATAATTTGTAAGTGTTAGTGTAAGAATTTGGTATAAAAGAAAGTGAAATCAATAAAGTAAACCAATTGGTGATCAAACTCCAACCAATAACTTATTATTTGCTATATATCCAATTAAAAATAAAACCATTTTTTTTATTTATATGGAAGCGACATCGATATGCGCGCAGTGCACATTAGAGTCATAAGGCACGCGATGCGATAGGCGATGCGATAAGCCAAACCGTCACGCTCGGCCGATACGCAGGCGATTTATGTCGCCGCAGTGTCGGTGTCGTGCAAGACAAGGTGCGCATTCGAGCGATACGATACGCGATACGATATGCAACTTACCCGACAGCGACGCTGCGGCGACATATATATCGCTTGCGTATTTGCCGAGCGACACTGTTTCGTTTATCGCATCGCCTATCGTATCGCTCTAATGTGAACCGTGCCTAACAGTCGCAAAAGATCCGAAATGGACCCAAAAATTGCCAAGTAGCTCGGAAAATTCACTAGACACAAATAAAGGCACAAGCCCAAAAGTTGACCGCGACGCATAAAAAAACAATCAGCAGAGAATGACCCTTAACATAGTTGACGGCGAAGAAAGCCACGTAAACTTGTTTTCGGGGAATGCTGCTGAAGTGACAGGTATAATTACGGTGACCTTATTTATGAGTGCTGAATACGGGACAAAAAATAATTTTGCAAATTTTTTCCACAACAGCTTACAGATCTTAAACCCTTCTTCAATGATCCTAGATGTATTAGCCCTGCAAGAGTAATCTTTTACCCCGTAAAATTAAAAAAAAAAAATCGTTAATTGTTAGTATAATAAAGTGCAAGTTTTAGTCGCAGGCTTACCATTAATTTTTGGCATTTTTTTTTTGTTGGCCAGGTTACTGATTTTTTTTTTTCAAACAAAATAATGCCGAATTTCCACTAGGCATTATAATGACAAAAAATGTACGCCATTTAAAAAATGCCAAGTGGAAACAGACATTATGACTATTTTTATATTAACGCAATGGTACGGGTGTTTTTTAATGCTCAACATTGTCATTAAAAATGTTGTCATTTAATGCCTAGTGGAAATTCAGCATAAGTATGTTCGACCATTGTTTTGAAAGAGAAGCAAATGAGCAGAACTTTCCACTCGCACGTTATTATACTAAATTTTAATGAGTTACAAAACTGTAAACAAAATTTTTTCACAAGATTCGAATTAAAAAGTTTGAAATTTTGGGGAAACATTTCAGAATTAATTTTTATAGTTTTTTGCACAAAGTTGGAAATTTGGTGTTATATGGTTTTTGTTAGGAAAAGAGCTTTACTTTCATAAAATAAATAATACACATTAAATAAACTAAGGAAAAATAGCCAAAACTTACTAAAATGTCGATTTCTACTTAGGTCACTTTATGTATTCCTCGATTCAAATCACAGGCATTCAGATTAGAAAATAAAAACTATTTATGGAGAAAATTGCGATCATATACCAACATCACATGCCATTTTAATGTGCTGTTAAAGCGTCGAAACACCGAATACGGGACAAATGCAGGACGTTAAAAGAAATACAGAACATTTGGCGTCCCGTATAAAATAAATAAATTACCAGGACAATGGGTCAAAAAAGAGGACTGTCTCGTATAATACCAGACGGATGGTCACCGTAGGTATAATCAATGTTTACGCGTCTTTCTTGGCGTAATATATATTGTACCGAGTTTGATAGAAATTGCTTAATTTAAATGTGACCACTGGGCGACTGGCTTTAGGAGTCATTCAAACCGGTTCATAAACAGAGAAGTTTTAGGTCGGTTACATTGGGCATAGTCGGTTTATTTTTAAGTGTATCTCGCATACAAACAAGTTATTGCCAAAATAGGGTATAGTAGTACAGGCTCCTCACTTCGCATCCCAGTCATCCACGTACATGCGACGCCACCATTTTCCATTAGCACCACCAGAGCCTATTTTTCATTTTAATGGCATTCAGACGCGCTCGTTTATTTAACTCGATATCATACATTTGGTGATTTTCTCATTTCATATTCATATGGTTGACTTGAACTGAAAACTGTCCATTAAATTTTTTGTGAGCGGCTTGATTCATTAGGAAGAAATGCATAATTATATTTTTAATTTAAGGTGTTTTTTTTTCAGTACTTTACTTACCAATCTCCTTTGAAAATTCCACATTATTGTGTGCTTCGAAACAATTTATAACGCTTTTTGTATTCAAATGAAATAATTGCGATACAATTCAACTTGCTCCCATTTTTCTGCCAATTTAGCATTTAGCATATATTTAGTGCCACACTTTTTTTTCATAGCATGCAGCGCAAAACGAATGGAAATAATTCAAGTAAATTCATATGGACGACGCAATAATGCCGAATACATATCTACTTACTTTCTCTACTTCTCCAACTTTGAGTAGCTCCTTTGACATCGCGCTTTCTATGACTAAACACCAAACCAACGGCAAGTTGACTATTTGGTTTGTTTTGGTTTGTGATTTCTTTAACTACCTTTCACTATACTTCAACGTTCAAAATATGTAATCAATTCTAATGTGATGTGATGAGTGCGCAAGTGACCAATTTCGTGGTGAGTTAACAAAATTTGTGGCCGGCAAGATTTTATGTGTGTACTAAAAATACGCTTCGTATTTTGAAACCGGTACTAAAATAAAATTTTAAATGCTTTGCTTGGACTTTGCCTATACATTTTTTCGGAAAAAATTGTGAAGAGCGTTGTTTTTTCATTACTTTGAAACGTTGGTTTATATATATATTAAGGGGTCAAAAAATTTTCTCTATTTAAACCTTGGAAGAATAGAACTTTCGCCGCAGCGCACAGTGGTGCCGCCCCATGCCGCTCCTGAAATTAAGCGCATGTTTTAGAGAAACTCATGTAGTTTTCGAGCATATAATTGAATCTTTTCGAGCGGCTTTTCAAATATGTATATGAAATTTTCGACTTTCTTAATTTTTCGGTTTTGAGTTTTTTTGGGTAACTTCGCGAAAATAATTCTTCGGACAATGGAAAAATCACACAACACATTGGGAGAAAACAGAATATTGACACCTACGTAATTATAATTATAAGCTGTTATTTAACTTGGTCATCCCGCGCAAATCGTGGAAATTTCCAATCGATTTTAAACTAACTTCCCGACAAGTTAGAGACTTGAAATTTTCAGCATAGTTCCAATCACGATGACAATGCAATTTAAAATATAAATGAATTCCCTATATGGTCCAGGGTTCTTGATTCAAAGTCGGTCAAAAATTAGTAAAATTTATGGCTAACAGAGCGTAATTTGCCAAAGAACGTAAAACCAGAGCAAAGCTATTTATGGCAAATTCTAGATATCAACCTAGTCTAGATATGAACCTCGAGAAGTTTCCCCGCCAGAAGAACTTTAATATTGCGCCTAAATATACGCCATGCTACAGCGGAAGTGGACGACACGCCATTTCTTTAAATGAAATTAACTGCTGCTATATGTATGTATGTACATATGTATGTTTATACAAAACGTAAGCAAACAACATTTTGCTTGCATAGTCTTCTGTTCTCTTTAATTGCAAGTTGAATTATTTTAATATCTATTGCAAAATTTTGTTCATAAAATAAAATAAAACTATTTAATATACAACGCTTTTATAAATGGACTAAAAATTAGAAAATAAAGTAATGTAAAAAAAATATTTTTTTAAAAATAAGCTTTTATTTAACATGTTTAATCAAAGGAATAAAATAAAGTAGTGAAACAAAAGATTTTTTAGCAAGAAAATTTTGTCATAACTGCACTAAAATGAATAAAATAAAATAAGTTAAGTTCTCGTTAAAGTTACTAAAAGCCAATTAGTGAAAGGAGTTATTCAAACTCTAATGAAAATTACTAACAATTTGTACTAATTTACTTCGTTTTTAAAAAAGCTTGTCGACGAATTCAGCGTACATGCATAATTGGTTAGGTATGTATGTATGCAGATATTTAAATGCCGGTTCGCCATTCGCGCGACAAGCTTTTTTAAAAACGAAGTAAGTTAGTACAAATTGTTAGTAATTTTCATTAGAGTTTGAATAACTCCTTTCACTAAATGGCTTTTAGTAACTTTAACGAGACCTTAACTTATTTTATTTTATTCATTTTAGTGCAGTTTTGACAAAATTTTCTTGCTAAAAAATCTTTTGTTTCACTACTTTATTTTATTGCTTTGATTAAACATGTTAAATAAAAGCTTATTTTGTAAAAAAATATTTTTTTTACATTACTTTATTTTTAAGTATAACCTTTGTTATTGTGAGTGTGGAAAGCAGAAAACAAAAATTAGCCAGAATTCCATTACATTTAATGATTGGGCCCACATTGCGAGTTGTAGTGATGCAATCTTCCCCATATTTTATATTTAATTTTTTCTGATAAAAGAGAGAGTATAAACTAAATTTCATCGAAATCGGGTGAAATTTAATTTTTCTGCCCGCAAGAGTGGAGGCCGTGGCAATTATCCCATGTTTACTAAATTTCGTAATTCCTTATCTCTTGGTAAAATTAAAGCACATGTCCAGTTTCAGCAAAAGCGGTGCATCTTAATTATTATTTCCACTTGCCTCATGTCGAAACACTGTGGGACGCACTGTTTGTTATTTATTAAAAAAAAAAACAACTTGGCCTTCTGCCGCTATGCGCCACCTTTGATCAGATTACTGGGGGTTTTGGAGAAATATTTCTCTATAAGTGGCTCCAATTGCGAATGAGATCAAATCATCGATCGATGCCAATGTGGAACCCTCTCTGACTCGTCTGTAGCCTCGTTTCCGTTAACCCACCCAAACTAAATCTAAATGGAGCTAACTACTTACTGCCTTTATGAAAGTCCCATTCCGTTAAGTCTATCCCAAAGTCCTATCTATTTTGATCATCAGTAGATCCACTCCATGGCTTTGCTTAAGTATGTACCTAAAGGAGGAGACTAGCCCTCCATCCAGATCCTGTGATATATAGGTCTGAAATGATGTAATAGCCCGAGCTACTTTATTCTCACTGACGATTTCGTCGACTAAACCGTCTTGCCTATGAGTGTTAGGAATTTCCGCAACGAGACTGACTGTCTCCCCTTTGCTGCAACACCCACAAAAGTGGACGTTCATTCGATTTTCTAGAATGTTTAGAATGCTTTCGGTTTGCACTTCTCCTGGCTTTACCAGGAAACCGTGAAGAAAAGGGCTCTTCAAGACGTATCCTCTCAATTACGTGGCTTCGGTGGTTGTGTCGAGGTCCTCCCAGAGTTTGGACCACGAAGCCTTCTTTGTCGTTTTTATCTCTTCTTGGAACGCATTTTGTACGCTCTTTCGCGTTCTTGGTTAACTTCGCCCTATTAAAATCACTTTAGCTGCTATCCTAAATTACCTAAGCTCCACCGTTTACCATTTTATAAGTCACAGAGGAGGTTTGCTCTCGGAACAAGTTGTCATATAACATTCGTTAAGAGAATTTAAATGCTCGAGTTGGTCTGCTGAGTTCCGCTCTTCTGTACATAGGGGTTGCACTCCAGACACATTTAGTTAAAGCCATTTCAGTTCGTCCTACGAAGATTTTCATAGATTTTTGTGTCGGTTTGCTTAGGTTTATGGAAACTACGATGCGACGGTGTGCAGAAAAATAGCACATTCTCGAAACGTGCCAGACTTCGAACCTAATATTTTTAGAGTTAGTTACCACGGTTATATCTAGTTATAACCTCCTGCCTTATTCTTTAAATCTAGTTTTTTTGCATACAAAAAAAAATTCAAAACCAATAACTTTCTTACTAAAAAATGGTTTATTATAGCTTAAAATTGTTGTAACCAATAGAGGTAAATATGTTGCACAAAAACACATAAACAGAAGTTCACAAAATTTGATATAAAACTATTCGTGGATTTAAATTGTTAACTTTTTACTGTGCATGTTTATTTTACGAGAAGGAAGCATCGAAAGCCTAACCCCTTCAGTGTGATACTTTAACCCAAACTAAACTTCCTACCGCCATGTACCGTTCCCCTCCCGATACCACCCAACGATTTCGTCGGGATTATTACAAATTATTACGAATGTGCTGATTGTTTGTTTGATGACAGGAGATACTTCGTCTTGTCCTCGTTTACCACCATACCCATTCGCTTTGCTTCCTTGTCCAACTTGGAAAAGGCAGGACAAACTTCGCGGTTTTTCTAACCGATGATGTCAGTGTCATCGGCATAAGCCAGCAATTGTACGCTCTTGTAGTAAATTGTTCCTGAGCGGTTCAGTTCTGCAGCTCTTATTATCTTCTTCAACATCAGATTAAAGAATTCACATGAAAGATAGTCGCCCCTGAAACCCCGTCTGGTGGCGAACGGTTCGGAGAGGTCTTTCCCAATTCTGGCAGAGCTGGTGGTATTGCTCAACGTCGTTTTACACAGCCGTATGAGTTTTGAGGGGATGCCAAATTCAGACATAGCGGCGTATAGAAAACTCCTTTTAGTGCTGTCGAAAGCGGCTTTAAAGTCGACAAATATGTGGTGGGTACCGATCCTTTTCTTGCGGGTCTTTTCCGAGATTTGGCGTATTGTGAATACCTGGTCAATGGTGGATTTGCTAGGTCTAACGCCCACTGGCCTAATCACTTCATTGACGGTGGTATTCAGTCTCAACACAATGCATTCGATAAGACCTTGCCACCTATGCTTAGAATGCTGATCCCGCGGTAGTTGGCACGCATGGCGGGGTCGCCTTTCTTGTGGATTGGGCAGAGCCCACTGGAATTCCAGTCGTCGGGCATTTACCTTATTACCTCCTTGCCATTGTAATTGAATAGCTCAGCTGACAGGCCAGCAGCTCAAGCAGCTTTGTTACTTTTCGTCATAGTCAGGCGCTGGGATATCGACTCCATCGTCATCGACTGGGGACTCGGGTTCGTCTTCTCCACTTCTTTCAGTGTTTCTGCCATTTAAAAGGGTCGAAAAGTGTTCTCTCCATAACATGAGTACGTTCTGGACATCGGTCACTAGGTCGCCATGGTTGTTCCTACAGGAGTCTTGAAACCTTCCGTAAGTCGCTCAACTCTCTGCTAAAAATTTCGGGCGTTTTTTCTATCGGCCAGCAGTTCAAGCATTTTTCTCACACTCCTCATCGTACCAGTAATGAGCGGGATATGTGGTTCCACTGCTCGCGCAAGTCGGTTTGTTGAAGAGTGCTCTCTCACAGCAGGTGTGAGGGTCTAGCTTGGGATCGTCCATGTAAAAATTCTCCATGGGCTTTCCATTCTCTTCTTGACGGGATGGGTTTAGTAGTTTTAAGTAACTTGCCTTTTGAGCTGCTAGCCACCATACATGTATTCCATATATATGTGTGCCACACTCGCACTGTCATACGAGATGGCAGCTCTGAGATTGAAACAACCTCCAAACGTGCGTTGGCGCAAAGTTCATCTTGGTTGTGGACGTCGTTTTTTTGTGAGTCGAACTAATTCTTGTTACCACATCCGACAACCTTGACTCGCTTCTGCCACTTGGCTAAATCAAAGATGTTAATGTTGCTCTTATTTGTATGCTGGATCCCCCCAAGTATGAGGGTAAATCGCTTATTCCAGGAAAGTTTAAAAACAAAAGTATTTAAGTATGCTCATAAATGCCATATACATATATACAACCCTTACATACATATGCATATTTCTTTGTCATAAAAAGCGTAACAACAAATCCGGCTATGAATTGTTTTCCTTACTTTTCTCAATAAACTTATTTACAACCACTTTGGCAACACTATCAGCTGATGTCCAAAATCATAAACGTTAGTTTAACATTTAACGGTCACTTGGGGCTTGCCAATCGTCAGCAACACAACTTACCAGCGATGTTAAAGTACAAAAGTCAATGGCGAAGCGGCGAAACGCACAGTCACGAGTTGCAAGCACACGAATACGGTCGGAAAATTCTAAAATATCAAAAAGCAGCAGAAAGAAAAGTGCCACAACAAAACTAAAGAATATAGTGGAGGCAGTGAGAAACAATTTGTATTCAATAAAAAAGTATTCAATTGAAATGAAAGTGTGCAGGAGTGAGTTTTTTACACCGCGAGTGGTCAATGCATTCGGTGAGCATTATGGGGTGAATTGGCCGGATGCAGTAGTGCGTGACGAAGCTTAATTAAAGTGACGCTAGCCAGTGCAGACGAAATAAGTACTACCGCTCGCTATGTGTTTTTCTTTTTTTTTCGACTAAAAGACTAAAGCAAAAGTCCAAGGAAATTATTAAGTGCACTCGAGGACGTTGAAGAATATATTTATTTGCTTAATCTGAAATTAAAGTGGCAGAGCAAAGCAAATTTATCGCAGCAAAAGTGTGACGCATGTCTAAGTTGCGACAGTGAAGAGCGAGTTTAGATCAAAATAGCCACGGATAGAACTTTTATGGCTCAATAAAGGTCACCTAAAATACGCTTTCTAGCAGAGCTCTACATTTTTTTGTCTGTGTTTGTATAATATGTTCTTTCGCCGCATGTTTGCGCGCAAGGACAGCAGTGCCAGCGGCGACAATGCTCCGTACAATTATCATAATGAGGATGTCAACGCTAACGACAACCACGACGACGAACGCGATGAAGTTGGTGCTTTAGGAGGTGGCGCAACAGCGCGCGGCAAGCGCCACAGTAACAACAACGGCAATGTGAACGGTACACTTAGCAATGGAACCAGCAGCAGCAGCAAATATGAGTTCCAACGCCGACGTACTTACGGCTCTGCGGCAGCGGCGTCTTCAAGCGCGGCAGCTGCCTCCAAGCACTGTCACTCCGCAAGCACGCTACACCGCGCTGCAACTTCCGCACCGGCTACGGTCCAGCTGACGCCACTATGGGAACACATACTCCGCACGCGTACCTTTCCCGACAATGTTTATCCGGGTAAAATATTTGGTGAATTTCTCGAACGTCTACGCGATCCCGAATGGCAAGTGCGTCAGCATGCGCTACGCGTTTTTGTCGATGTATTGGTGGTAATGCGCGCCGAGGCGGACGCGTATATGGATGCGCTGATAGCGCCATTGATAGAGAATTTAGGTCATCAGGCGCCTACCGTGAGGAAAGGCGCGCTTGACTGTATGCGCGTATATCTCGCCGAGACGGCAATGCCCGAAACAATATTGCTGCAGATACTCGATATCGGGCTGAATCAGAAGATAACCAACGAACCATTTGGAGGACGCTTAACATGCGGTGTTATGTTATCCTTACCAGCGCTGGTTCATTCGACGTTGAACACTAGCAAGCGGCATTACACACTGCGCACTGCCATAGATATGCTAGTGCAGAAGATGGGACAGGTGACGCATCAGGAGATCACGCTGAAAGTTCTTTCGAAATTACGTGACTTAGTGGGTGAAGATGACTTTCGGGATTATATGACGACGAGCGCGTATCGCGAATTCGACTTGTTGTGTAATGTTTACAGCGTAGATGACAAAGCAAATTGTAGTGCGAGCGGACATGGTGGTGGTCATGATAGGAGCGTAAATACCAACAGAGGTGCTGGTACTTGGCATATGTTAACAAAGCAGCCCCTGGTAAGCTGCTGGCGCTCATCGGATGAGGAGCAAATGCTCGAGGAGGCGGCTAAAGCGCGAGTTATTATGGAAACTGAAATAAAAATCAATGATGATACGTTAACGATGCGCATTCTCGAGGCAAAGGACGATGATTTCGACACCGAAGTCGATACAGACTCGAGTCCGCGTAAATCTGTGGACACATACCCGAATAGTTTGGAGGATGATGTCGTCTGCGGTCGCCTACCAAGCGCAACACGCGATTCTGAGCATGAGTTAAGCGCGGTGGTGCGTTTACTAAGCGATTCCGAGTTCGATATGGAGGATGACTGCAATGCAGTGGAGCAAAAATCAAACCTGCGGGACCGTCAAGAATATTACAGCGTTGTAACGCCATCGACGCCTTCGCGCACACCGAAACGTGTAACATTCGGTGGCGAAGTGGTGAAGATGCGTACGCCGGACAGCGACGCTAACACATCAAATAATCGAAGCAATAACGGGGCTGTAGCTGAGCATCAGCACACACTCTCTGCCATGCCAACTGGGAATCAAAATACCATTGCGGCTGGGGGCGGCAGCGGCGGAGGTGTTGACGGCAATAGTGATAGCGCTGAGCCTTTGCAGCGCACTATTACAACAACAACCACCACAACAACCGAGATAACAATTATAAGCACGCCATCCACGTCCGCCACTAGCAGTCCACTGCCCGAGGAGACAAACCACAGCAAGACTATGGCATTGAGCGTGGAAATAATAGATGACAACACTAAGCCTTTGCCAGTGTCATCGCCGGAGACAGAGCGCTTACCAGTGGCGCGTCCAAGAACAGCACAATCTCCAGGGCGTGCGCAAATGTCAAGCATTGCCAACGATGGTGGCGGCGCTGCCTCCACAGCAGACGACACAAGCCCTTTGAGCTCGTCTGCGAATACAAACGATTCTCATTCGCCACCCAAGCGACGAGACTCCGTGACTAGCGCCGGCACAGTCGCCAACTTATCACCATTCTCACCTTCGTACAAGCGACACAGTATCAGTCCCGTAGATAGCATTATTAGTCCTAAGACGCCTCACAAACCCATTGAGGTGATGCACAACTTACAGCGTGATCCCTCGCCAGTGCGTTCTCGCAGCGCACGACGCGCTGAGGTGGTAAGAGAGGCAGCGCAACCTAGTGCAGGCGAGAAAATTGACACCTTATTGACGACACACTCCACACAGACAACACATATGCCACGCACACAGACGCCCTCACCGCTGTCACCCAAAACGTGGGAGGTATTGGATATTGTCGATTATGATACGTTACTGGATTTGCGTTCAGGGGTAAGTGAAAGTGCCTACAAGTACATTAAGTAACTATTGACTAAGTAATGCACATACCTACATACATTCAGGTATATTAAATAGGAAGGCAACTTTCAGCATAAAAACATTAATAAATACTTTCCTTTTCTGTTGACTCAATATTCAAAGACATTGTGTCTGTACTCGAAGGTTACTCTGCTGCAATTAAATCGATATATCGCACTTGACGTCAGTTTATTGTGCAATAAAATACAATAAATAAAAACCCAATGAATCGCATATGAAAATATGAACTCGTATCAACTGAGGCGCATTTACATACATATGTATGTGGTTCGTAGATTTGTCTGCGCCATAAAGTTGCTCGAAAGTTTTTGCAGCGACAGTCACTTTCACTAGAAACTTTTCGAATGCGCCATACATATATAGTACGTGTGTAAAGGCATAAGTGTGTATTTAACTGTATGTGATTACCGGAACTTCGCTTTAATACAGTTGCACGCACTCATTGTTCTTGTGCGCGTTAAAGTGCTGTAGGAAATTGATGGATAAAGAAGTTGCGTTCTATATGTTAAGTTAGATTAGGGAAGGGGGACACACTTGGACCATTAGGAGACGTGTAATTTGTGATACTGTGTAGATGTTCCAATGCCCGCCAAAATATTTCAACATTTTCCTTGTGCTCAGGTGATATTGTTACAAGGGTACCTTTTCTTTCCAAGACGTCAGCCAAGCAATATCATTGTATTCTGAAACCCGAGTGAGGCCAAAAAAAAAACTCTGAAGCAATTTCGAGGCAGACAAGACATTCCATGTCCAGTTTTGAGTGCACCACCGTTGCGTTCAGAGCCTTTAAAGCTGCTTATCTCTCAGAGTATTAGTGTTTTTGGTCGAAAATGGTGGAACACTTATTACATACCATAGCGAAATTGTTTTTGAATGAAAACTTAAAAAAGATATACTATAAAAATAAAAAATAACCACTCCTTTTCATATACCCACAGTCAACTAATACGTGCACTCGCACGCCCTAACTTAAAAGTCATATTATTTAAAAGTAATTAGAAGTAGAAGTAGAATTAAAAAAAAACGTCGCTACGAAAAATATTTTGCATACAGCCATTTTTTTTATTTGGTGGCACACTCTTGAAACTTCACAGATATGTTGTATTTAATGCCAAAGTCCATTGCTTCTAATATGAACATTGTATTTGAAAACTTGCCAAAATTGTAAAAACAAAAACATTTAAAATTTTTTCGAGTTACAAAGAAAAAAATTATAATTTCGGCACTTTTTCACCTGAATAAACGCTTTAAAGCTAAAATTGTTAAAATACTTGATTTATTTTTTATTTTAGCGTTTTTTTTTCTGCCGAGAAAAAGAACCGATACTAAAAAAAACAAACTCATTTGCTCTTTTGCTTAACCTCTTAACTGACGTCACACTCTTCGCAATAAGGCCGCTGCTTCTTTACCGACAATTAAATACTTCAGCCTGGAGAATACTGCAGCAGTCCAAAAAATGGAACTTCACCACTAGATGAAGAGTTCCCGGCAGAAGACATTTCACCAACCCTACTTTCGATTTTCGATCCATTCGTGAAAAAGTTCACTGCTCCCTTGTTTCAGTCACTCCTTGCGGGAATGTAGGTGTAGGCTATGGGGAGCCATTTCGGGGGCGCAGGAATCTGTATGACCAGGAATTAAGTAAAAACCTTCCAGCACTACGAAGTGTCCCGTGTCCCGTTTGTGAGCCTGTTAACCACCCGGTTTCTTTAGCCTACACTACACTACGTAGCATAACTATAGATGCATTTACTTTTTCGAGTTTCCGACCAATTAAAGAAATTTACGAAAACCCGCCAACCTTCTCTAACCAACGGAACGTAATGTAGACTTCTCCTGGGGAAGGCTTACAAGTTAAATGTTGATTAAGGAAAAGTCCAAGCGAATGGCATCCTCGAGAAAGCCAATCTGGAATTTGATGTATGAGTTCCACGGCAATTCTCAGCCAAAATAAAATGTAGTGTGGTGACATCACTGCAACATTGCTGGTACCAACTCAGGTGACTGAGGTGTTAGGGGCTGCCTGGATCCTGTACACCAAGACCCAGTGAGCCTATTGTGGTACCGTTTGAGTGCTTATTTTGTTCCCCTCCGCTCACCCGAAAATAGAACTAATTGATTATATTAATAAAATGCGAGCATTCGTGAGTGTCTGCTAAGTCGAAGGTCCACCAGACTGCCAAAAAAGTAATGGTGAAATAAGCGTCTTCTAGGCGCTGATAGAGTCAGTACTCAATATTTTGAATTTCTACCTCATCACCACAGCTGTGGCAGCAGGCATTGGAGGGTCATTCTACTAGCATGCCTTCATATTAGGCAGTGGATACAAGATGTTTTAGACGAATGAGTGAGGCAAACAATTACTTGTCGAAGCTGTAGAGTGGTAAGTTTCCAGACACGAAAACAATTGTAAAACAAAAATACGAAAGATTTAACAAATATATTTTTCTCTTAAACGAGAATGCCCTGAGAATTTAATCTAAGTTTTTTGTCGTCCAGTAATTAATACAATTCCCTAAAACAGCTAACCGCTTTGATGTGGCCATTCTATTAAATGGATTTGATTTCCTACTGGAACACTGAAGCGTGCCGAAAAGTATGCAACATGTTTAAGTGCAAGCGGAAAAAATGTGCAATTTACACAACGGTAATTTAACATCTATATGCATGACCAGTAATAATAATTCCGCAGTGAAGTGCACATACACAAGTGACCTCAAATTGTGAGTACGAAAGTAGTATCTGTGCATTTTGTGCATAGAATTTTGACTAGGCCGATATGACGGTTGGATCAGTCGCAAAAAAAACTACTACCACTTTGTTTATCTCTGTGTGATAAGAAAATGTTCCTTCTGTTCGAGCATTCGCCATTACGGGTTAGCAAACCGCGAAGCTTAAATCCATGCGTATGTATGTAGTACTGTATGGGATGAGTCAATGATAAATTAGTCTACATATGCTGGCATGTTATGCACTGATCCGGGTATACTTTCGAGTATTTGAAGACTATGTTGTCGCACAATTTTCTTTGGGATTATTAATTTTTGTTTTTCAAAAATGGTTTTCTATGGCCTAAATATATCGAAAATAGCAGTTATTTTTTTTTTCAACAGTTAAACTTGGCCAGATATTTTTTAAGTCCGAAATAAAAGTCCTTTCCGGTTAGTATAGAAACGGCTTATCCAAATTAAACAAATTTGTTATCAAATAAAAGAAGACTTTAATAGCTTTTTAAGAGAAAAAACGAACAAAGCTTACCACTTCTTTTTATATATGTTTTTATAATTTAATGCAAAAGAAATTCATATACCTCAACCAAGGTTTATTAAATAATATTTTTTTATTGGAAAATTTTTGAATAGCTGGCTTTCCCCTAGCTTTCCTCATTTCAACATTTCAGTTTTAAAGCTATTTTAGTACTCTTTCACTTGATACCAAACTTGTTTAATTTGCATAAGCGGTTTATTTATTGTTAGGAAAAGACTTTTATGTTCGACTTAAAAATATCTGGCCAAGTTTGACTGTTAAAAAAATAACTGTTATTTACGGTCCCTGATTAAAAACTAAGCTCTTAATTCATGGGGCACGAACCATAAAAACTCAATACACACCAACAGTGTTGCCAAGTTTTGAATTTGAAAAAGCACTAAAACCCTTGAAAAATCGCGTTTTTTCTCGAAAAAAGCACCAAATTTTTATTATTTAATGGATTTTCTATGCATTAAAAATTGTATTGTAGGGATGCCGATTTAAATTAATAAAAATCAATATTTTTTCCTCGACGGTCGAATTTATTCTGTTTTCTATAAATTTAAATATTTTCGTTCAAGCTATGTTAAGATTCCTGTTCTTCTTTTCTAATTTGCAGCTGCGTCCAGCGTTGCCGCTTCGGTTATATGTAAGCAAAATTGATTGACTTTCCCTGGCTGTTTAAATGTTAAAATTTTCTTAGTTTTGCTTAATTTTTTTCTACAATTCCTTGCAAGCGAAAGCAAAAACCAGAAATGAAGTTTCATAAATTATGTGGTAGTTTTCTACTTTTCTTGTGAACTAAAGGAACATAAAGAACTTTTCTTTCCGACCGCTTAACACCTGAAACATAACAAAATTTGATTATTAACCACTGGCGCATAGTCGGAAAAAATAATGTTGTGTCAAAAAAGCTGTCTACTCTTCAAATCCCACCCGATTTTGATTATTCTCTTTTTTCAAAAAATTCGTTAGATATTAATTTTACTGTTAGGAGATGCTGCTGCTTTTTTGAATAGTCGTTGAAAAGTATAACAAATTGAGCCTAAAGGTCTAAAGGGCGATTCCTGTTCCCAGCAATGGTGTGTTACCGCATGTTATTTTGACATGATTGAAAGTGCTGCCACATATTTATATTATTGGTAAAAATATGCTCTCTCGCTTATGATTGTCATTGTGACATGAGTTTGTTCCGATTTTTGTAAAATTTCTTACATAACTTACGATTGCTATAAATTTTGCCCACCTTTTGTTAAGATTTACAGATTTGGTGTCCTCAAACTAAAAACAAAAGCACCAAAAAACGCACCAAGCACTAAACTCTAAAATTTTCGCGTTTTGAATGAAAGAAAAACACTAAATTTAGTGCGAAAAGCACCAAGTTGGCAACAATGCACACCAAGTATACAAATTGCATTGTAAGTATACAATGCGTATTTAAATAGACCATATGAATAATATACCTACGTGTAACATACATAAATCGAAAACAAAAGGTATACTTACATGTTGTTCTACAAGTTATTATTTTATCCGCCACTGCGCTCGAAACTGGGTCACTAGGATGTATGTAATACATATGTACATACATATACCTACATATACATATATATATATTTATACTATGCAAAGAGGTGTAGAGTATACATTTTACGTTACACCAGATGGAAGTACATACTTATGTACTTACATATCGAGCCCTA